GCTTACATTTTATCAAATGTGATCCCACTCATCTTTTGAGCATTGGAAATGAGCATTTTGCAACAATACTATAGTAATAGGTGACAGCCACTCCAAAGGAGAGGATTCTGTATTTACATAATGAACTTTGGTTGATGGCTTGGTCAACAGAAAATGATAAGCAAGATATCTGCTGGTGTCTTGTGCCATCGGTAATCAAGTGATAAGGGTATGTCTGACCCAAAGGAAATGAGATCTCATGGTGAACGTGCAAGTCTAAAAATTCAAACCTGATTTCCCCATAACTCAGTGTTTCTTGCTTCCCTCACTTCAAACTTGGCAGTGGGAACCAGCAAATTCCAATTCTGGTTTGAAATGCGTTTGTGTCACGTGTGTTGTGGGGTATGACTGCTGACACCTACACAGCCATCAGGAAACCTGGGTTGAGGGGTGTAATTTATCAGAGGTGTTCACCCAGATGCTGGGTTTTCGCAGAGCTGAATTGGGTTACAGATTGTGGTGGGGGGGCGAAACTGCTGGAAAATGTGTCAGCATTCTAATAATAACTCAAAGCCCAATCACTAGAAAAATAATGTATTTTAAAATACTAAGCTTCTCATTACAAAATCAAAGAAAATTACTGCTCTGAACTACTGAAAAGGTCTCCTGTTTTAGAGAGATAAGATTCTTTTGGTATCCAGAAGGGCATGACATTTTTCTCTTGTTTGATTATATTAGGTATATTAAATATGACCTCAGTGTTTAAGGTTGCTCAAGCTGCAAGAGTTCAAAAGATTTTGGATGAGATTTTTTCAATTTATTTTGTTAAGCCTTTGCAGTAATTGTAAATAGTCATTCTTTTAAAGAACAAATAGTAGGAGGTCAAATAATCCATATATATATGACTGTATTTCATTACAGAGGAAGGTTCACAGGAGAAGAAATGTGGCTATGGTTGTTAGATAGATATTTAAGAAGAATCATTGATGTATAAGTAAAAAAGCTTCAATCCAAAGAAAAGTGTATAGAATTGTGAGACAGTATTGATAATTCAGAAGATAATGATGTATGAGGAATACTAGTTTTCAGCTATAGGTGTTCACTATTAGAAGGCAGACTTGATGAAATATCATCAAAGAGACAAGAGGAACGACCTTGGTGTTATTATAGTCAATAAGGGATGATTTTCTGTCAGTTTGTAATTTAAGATTGGCAGGCTTATTTTTAAGTTTAAAAATCAAAGAAATAAATGAGCTTAGTCATTCTTTATGTTGATTCCTGATTATTCTGAGTACTAAAAATTGAATTTAGGAGAAGAACAATGGATTTTCTATTTCTACTAATTTTTGTTAAATTTTATCACAAGTATCTCCAGTTCTTTGCAGCTAATGTTTTGCAGTTCTCTTGCCTTTCATAATATGTTATTTTTTGTTATTGTGTCAATTTCTATGTCCGGTGTCAGTAGAGGAATGTTAGCTTCTCTTTAAAGATAAATAAATAGATCACTTAGTCTACACTTTCAGTTTAAGAGATAACTTGGAAGCAGTAAGTCACACATGAAAGGAAATAAATCTTTAAAATCCCAGTCACCATTTTTAGTAATGCTATTTTTCCTTTGGGTGGTGAGTCTTGATTTATGAGCTCTGAGTTAAACTGACAGTGCAGTTGTCTGATGCCCTTAGGATGGGAAGGAAACCCTCCATGTTCTTACTGTTGTTAACAGACAGGTAATTTGTAGCAGTAGATTCCAGATGTTGCATTTCCAGAAAACAATTTTTTTTTTAATGGCATGCTTCATACTTTTTAATTTACACAGCATTAACTCATTTTTCATAGATGTCCAAGCTGGAAGTTTAAGATGGTTTTCTGCACGTGAGTGTTCTCATTCTTGCCACCAACTTTGTGACTGCCAAAATTAGCTAGTAGAATTCAGCCTTTTCTCTTATTTTTTTGCAGAAAAATACACATTTCAGTGAGATGTCAAAGTTAGTCCGCATGAGAAAAAAAAAAAAAAATCAGATTTGTTTAACTCATCCAAAATCTGAAACAAATATGCCCAATAAGGATAACTCAAGAGCCATGGGAGACAATCTCTTGGGAGGGAGTTTGGTCTTTGCATCCAAAGATGTAGGGTACTCCCACCTTCATGGGCATAAGTTTTTGAACCACCTGTACACACTGCTAGAGCAGTGGTGGGGGTAAACCCTCCATCCTTGCTGCCCCGAAGAGGTTGGGAAGGAAGAACATTTGGTGATCCACTCTAACCTTGAAGAAACTTCATGCTGGAAGGGGTGGGAAGAAAAGAGGGCTGATGAGCTGCCAGCTTGGCCCTGCTGGAGCTGCCCAGGCCCCTGCAGCACAGGTGGAACCAGCGTGGGGAGCTGGGTCTGGGCTGAGGGCTGTTGGGCTGAGCTGCACAAGGAGGCCAGGGCATTGACTGCACACACAGCGAGCTGTGGTCTGCCATGGGCCTCTGCTGTGACACTGGAGAAGTCACTTTGTGCCTCTGCACCAGTTTCCCATGATTTTTTGTTCCTTTAAGTGTCAAATGCTGTCTGACAGGGACTGCTTACACTATTTTTTTTCTTCCTAGTAAAACGCAGTCCGGATCTCAGCTGAGACATTTAAGAGCTACTGTTATTACAAATAATATATCATTATTGTATCTTCCATCTTGTTAATCTCACTTCAAATTAAAATATCTGTGCACTAGTTTAAATTATCGAGCATTGCTAGTGTTTCTTAGATATTAATGAGAAGAAAGGCACTAAAAGGCCCACATGACAAAAAAACTGTGAATGTGATTTGCCCTTTCATTTAATGAATTACTTTTTAATGGCATAGAACTGGTTAAAATTTTCCGCTGAGAAATATTTTCTCCTTAAAATACTGTGGTTTTGCTTGATATGCAGGAAACTGTTATTGCTGGTTAAAAAGAAAACCCCAAAGTTAAGGTTTGGCATAGAAAATACTGAAACTTTTGCAATTTAAAGAGTAATTTTATTTCTATGGTATCAAAAATACAAATCAAAACAAAGTGAGTATTTTCCTTTGAATGTTTAAACTATTGATTTGCAACAAAAGTGATGACTCTAAATCTCTTTGAAACTTCTCACAGAAAAAAACAAAAAACTTCGAATTCTTCATTGCTTATGTAAATGAGAACCACATTGCTTTTTCCAAACCATTCTGGTGTTAGTTGGTTAAAACTGTCTTAAATCCATAGTGACTAGATTTGAGGTGTATGTAACTTGAAGACATGAACTTTCGTGACATGATGTAATCTAAGATGGATTTTGCAGAAGCCTATGCTGGGAATTTGGGTCTGCATATGCTGTAGGAGACCTTGGAAACCTGGGGCACGGGAGAGAGCATCCTGCCCAGGAATGTCGTCCAGCTGTGTTATATTCTCTGTCCAGCTCTAAAAGGTTCAAAAGGCATTTTTGCTTTATATTTTCATTTGCATAGAGTGTTGGTTTTTTTTTTTTTCTTTTCAGAAGTTTAGAAAGGACTGAAATAGAATATTTTATTTCACAAAGTTGTGTTTTAAAGCAATGCCATGCTAGTCCCTGGTGAGACCAGAACAATATACACAGTGCATGGTGTTGAGTGAGGCAGCTGGCTCCCGCTCTGACTGCTGGAGGTATGTCAGGATTAATCCAGTATGTTTGCATTTAATTGCTACAATTTTAGGTTCTTCACAGCATATTATACTGGACCAGGCTGCAACTCATACAACTAAAGTTGATGTTAAGTGTCATGCCTATAGAGCTTCCAACTTTTCATGTTTGATTGGCCTGTTTTTTTAGAGGAAAATATCGTAGCTTTACATAGCAGTAGTTTTCCTGGAGGAAATGGGCTAAGGTAGAGAAAATTGTCCTGTACTTGCACTGACATATACAACATAGTGGTGCAAAGGGGCAGAGAAAATTACTTGAAGTTGTCTGTGGTCTGAAATATTCAGCAGATAGGCAGTTGTGACTCAGTAAATGTTTTAAAGATGCAGTAAAATGCACAGACCAGCAAGAATCCATCTCACCCTGGTTATAATGAAAACTGAAGAAGGGATACCAAATTCAGTGCTGTGTGAGATGATGGATTCTGTGTGATTAAGATCTCTGGTAGTACCATGCCCACAGTAGGATTTCCTTTGTCTCCTTTTCGTGTTTGCTTGAGGATTTAAGTGTAGGTGAAAACATTACAGTTTACTTATTTGTGGATTAGAAAGGGAAGAGGTTTGTCTTACTATTGTCACTTAAAGCTGTTACAGCAAATAAATGTGGCAGGATGCAGGAGCAGTGTCAGATCCACAAGTGCACAAAGGATAAACACAAGCTTGCTTTCTCCTGGTCTTGTATTAAATCCTCTATGAGAGGCTTCAGGAAGGGCAACAAGGGCAAATGGCTGAGCGATGTTAGTCTTCCGAATCCAGGATCCAAGGTACTGGTGATTTCCCAGGGACGGAAATTCTGTTTTTATTCTGTTTTGTCCAAGAAAAGACTTTATGGACAGTGACTTGTTGACGCTGACTTCTTTTGCTCATTTCCTTGTTTTAAGGGAACATTGTCTAGTTAAAGGCTGGAAGACTCGGTTGTCTTCTGATTACAAGCTCCTTCAAACACCAGATGGACTCTACTGTCTATACACAGGGCAGATGTTCCACCAAAAATCTGTGTACCTCCAAACTGCAGGAATGTTTCTAAATAAAAGTTTGGTTTGGCAACACTTCCATCAGTCACTATTTCAGCCTGTTTCCAGGTGTGCTATAGTCCAGGTATACAGTGACAAATCCATGACTGTTGGCTTTCCGGTAGCAGTGCTCTTTGTCCTGCCTCTTAATTTGGTCATTCTTATGCGGGGGACTAGTTTCCAGGTGCTGGAAAGAAGAATCCTGTCTTTCTCTCCCCCAGACACCTTCTCTTGCAATAAACACCGACCACAAGGAACAAGCTGACCTTTGGGCGATTGTAAATCAGTTTCTCCATTCAAACCCAGTTTTCCTTTCCCTTCCTTTCATACAGGTTGATAAAGTGTGTGGACAGCCCAAACAACAAGAAGGGAACCTGTCATCAGACAATATAGTGCCAGTGAAGGAAGCGACTGAAATCCAGACATTCGTGATGGCTCACGCTAGTCTGAACAATAAAAGAAGGTAACCCTAAGCAACAGTTGCTTTGAAATAAACTTTCTGCCTCACAATTTATGTTAATGGTTCCTAGCACCATAGTGTTTAAGCCAGAGCCACAGTTCTGTCACCCTGTCTGTGTGTTCTCCAGCCATTGCCATCACTGATAGTTACACAGATGTGTTTGTGGTTTTACATTGCAGGTCTCTCCAAGAAAAGCTTTTTACAGGCCAGACTTGATGTCATTAGTTAGCACCAAGGTGTTCATTATTTCCAGAAACTTTCAGTGAAAACGATGAAAGCTTTTCCTCAACAAAGTCTGAGTAATTTCCACAGTTGAGTCTGGATTACTTAAAATACAATTGCCCAGGTCTTTAAGGACTTGACCTTATCAAGGGGCAGAGGTGGGAAAGAGGAAGGAGTGAAAAGGAAAGATTCATTGCCCTGAAACACAGTCAGTCCCTCATTTCACAGGGCTGTGGAGGAGTAATAAGATCCCTTGCAATCTCCTTGATTTGTTACATAATAGAGCAAGAGCAGAAGCTTTTATGTTTAGGCTTGTTGTCTCTGTCTTGGGTTCTGTTCTTCAGTTGTGTGCCAGTTGAGACACTACACAGTTGAATTACTGCTACTGGCCCTGGCGTGAGTATCCCTGCTCCCAGATCTCCTAGTTTTTCTTTCACTTCCCCTTGTGTAGCTCCTGGATTGGTTTTCTGTAAATTGTAAGTGGGGAGGGAAGGGTGTCTTTGCAATCCCACTCATGATATGTGAGTAAATGTCACAGCTAACTGACCATAAAATCACAATGACATATTTCTGGCTAGCATGTTGTTCTCTGTAACACCAGTATAAATCTGGAACAACTGCAGCGAAGTGAGTGGAGTCATGCTGGGCTTATACCTGTATCTGAGAACAGTATCTAATCTGCCCAGGGAGCCCATGTGTATCTCTGTATATTGGATAGGTGGACGACAGACAGCAATATTAAAATTTCCATAGCCTGGATTCTGGAGTTTGAGTTGTGAAGATGAGATTTTTATCCATTTCTATTTTAATTCTCATCTAAGCTTGCATGACTGAAGCAAACACCACTTTAAAAGATAAAATAGCAGCAAGCTAAGTTTTTTGAGTGATAGTGATATTTTTATGCCTTTATAACTTAAAACCAAAACACAAGAGTTTGTGCTAGTGCTTAGAGCTAATCAATTTTTACCATGCAAATCAGAGAAAAGAGCATTAAGGAAATTAAATTAATAAATTCAGCAGTAATAATCCAGAGAACAGTTGTAGTACAATTAATGAAATATGCTTTTAAAACCGCAGAGCTGTAGGCCATCTTCTCTATAACTTATTGACTTCACTGAGACTTACGTGCTGGCAACCAAAAAGGCAGATTTACCAACCTATTAACAGGTAACCTTTTAAACAAATGCAAATTGGTGTCTTTAATGGCATGACAGCAGTTCTTTCTCACCTGAGGATCTGGTCCCTTCCCTTCCCAACCATCTAGAATTATTTGGATATTGACATTTTAAAATTTAAGACCTGTAGATGGAAAAGAAAATGTGCTAAAATTAATATGCTGTAAATTAGACAGTTTCCCAGAATTGGTCTGCGCACTGAAAATTAATTTATCCAAAAAATCTAAACTAAGGCCATCCTTAGCATAATTTTAATTAGCATAAAACATTACTGAAATACAGTGTTGATAGGTATTGTGGAGAGCCCATGCACCAAAAATGAATGATGGAGCCATAATTAGTAAGAAGTGGAGAATATTTTTAAATTTTCCACAACTTGCTATAAAATATATGACATGAAGCTTGTAGTTTGCTTCTTGGAAACAATTGTGAAACAGTAAATAGAGTGAAATACACAGTGATTGGCTATATCACTGTGTTGTTCATCATCTATCATTTAATCACATATGATATCAATAAAAAGCAATTTTAGGTAATAAAATTTTATAATGGATGGCTGAAATCATTCCTGCAGTGTGTTGTGTAAAATGCACTTAGAGTGATAGATAACTGCTACAGGGGATCTAGATTATGAAAGTAATTATGTGAATATTTTTTGGTGCCGTTCCTTCTGGTGATTTAAAAAATAAAGAGCAATAACATCAGCTGTCTGTCAGTTTAGGTGTAAGGTCACACAGGGAATCGGCCTGTCTGAGTCTGTTGGTCTGTATAGTAGACATGCCTCCAAATGGTCCTTAATTCAAGAGGAATATAGAACATGACTCCTGCCTTTTAGAATAAGGAAAGAAAAAGAGAAGGAATAAGCCGGCACTCCTCAAGTAAAGAGAAAAGCTGTGGCTCATTCCCTTAATGTGTCAGAATATTCCCAAGCTCAAAGAGAAGAACCAAGTCTGGTTAGCGCATCTGTGGGAGAAACCACAAGAAAGTGGCCTCTCATCTCTTCAGTAGTACCGTCTTAGAGATGCCCTTAAAAACCTAGTGCCAAACAGCTTATACCTACAGGTGTATGTTTGCTCCAAAGGTATTGCATCTTTGCAAGGCCAGTTACAGAATCAAGCTCCTTTTCCAAAGAGTTTGAGAACCTCTGGTTTTAGCTGTTCAGTAGAGCCAAGGCTGCTCGTGCAAGTTGAAAAGTGGGACTGTTAAGATGGTGTCTCCTTGCCTGACTGGTCTTTCTTCTGGGTGTGTGTTTTCTGAGTCTGGCTGGAGGCAGTCCTTCTCACCCTCCACTGTTCTGCGCAGCGTGGTCCTGCATGGTCCCTGAATTCACATAGCAACTGGATCCTCTTTTGCGGTAGTTGAATCCTTTTCTGCTCTTTTACTCTCATGGGTTCCTGGGAGATTTCCCATCTTTCTTTATTTTCTGCTGCATTGCATTCCATTCCTGCATGTTTTTTGTTATGCAACACTACGTGTCAGGGACAATGGTGTAAGAAGCCGAAACTTGAATAAATGTTGCATGATCTTGTAGGAAATCTTTTCCTCTGATGAAGCTGAAAAGCATAGTTTTGATTTTTTTTTTTTTTTTTGGCATTTCACAATCGTATTCAGGGATTAACTGAAACTGGCAGGATTGCTGCTGTAGTCATTTTTTAATGTGGAGGTTACTATAACATGTTGTAGAGATGACAAGAAAATTGAAACCGTATGACGGTACACGGAATGTACATGGCATGTATAGAATCCTAATCAGTAAATTGGAATGTTATTTCTGAGTTCAGCACAAAGTACTATTCTGGTCAGTGTCCAGACTCCTAGGAAAGTTGAATACCTGCCTTTTAGCATGTCTGCTGCATCTAATATTTCAAACCACTAAACATAGACTGGTTACAGATCTGTATATAAAAATAAGTTATGTTTAACAAAGAACTATAACATGATATTAGGACCTTAATTGGAGGAGGCAGGTTTTGAAATGATATTTTGTTGGAATTTCTTTGTTATGCTGTGAACTTACGGCTCTTTTATACATCTTAAAATAAACAATTTTGAGTTTCTTTGGGAATGTTTGAAGTCGATGTCATCTACTTTATTTAAAACTAATTATCTATTGGGTCAGGCATCATATGATTTTATTAAAATTTGAGTATTAAAGTGCTAGTACAAAACATTATTAATGCCAGATGCAAATTAACTTACTGTGGAAATGAATCAAACGTTTCTGACTGACTGGCCAAGGCAGAAGTTTCAGCAGGTCCAGATTTTCCCTGTTACAAATTCTAATTTCCTTTTTTGACTGGCTGTGTTGGAATCACTGCTTCAGTGATGGCAGGTGACACTCACCTGATGATCAGTGCAGGTCCCTCTGTGGCCACCCCTGCTGCTAGCTCCCAGAAAGTACTATGGCAAAGCCGCCATCGTCTGTGTGTCCTCAGAGCTGCTGAAGGTGGTGCTTACTCTCTCCAGTAAGAGTTAACTGGATTGGCAAGTACCGTTGAACCTGTTTGCAGGCATGCGTTACTCCAGCTGTTGCCATTACTTTATACATGAGAGTATGGGTATAAGAAAGAGCAGGATGTGGTATCAAATCATGTAAGTGGAAAATTGCATCATGGTGTTAATGTTCAATATAATGTTTAATGTTAATTAAGGGACCTTGGGATATCAGTGCCACAAAATGCATTTGCACTAAATAACTACCAAGGTTATTTCCACAGTTTTTCTTCCAATATAACCTTAGAGCCTGTCTCTCCTGTTTTGCAGTCGTCTTTTTTTTTTTTTTTTTCAGTGGTGCAATCTGGCCAGAATTGAACAGCAAAAAAATCTGTATTCACATTATTTATTAACAGACAGCAAATTGCTAATTGTACCAGAAAATGAATGCTACTCATTTGTATCCCCCTTCCCATGGTGCTCATTCTAAACTGTTTGCCATTGTTTTCTTGTATAGCCTCATATATTTACAGTTCTTCCATTTGGTATCAGTTATAGTTAATTTAAGTACCACTGAATTTATTTTCAGCTTTTTGTTGTGTGTGCTGTATTTGTAATTGTGCTTTTATTTGAAAATGATTGGGAGAAACAATCTCAGTTGCATTTTTTTTCAGTATTGCATTGACATTTTTAATTGCATCTACACTTTGGAAAAATCTCATGACAATTTTCCTCCTTATTTGTTTTCTTATATTATCCTATGCATGTGCTTGATGACCTTTTTTCAAATAATTTTTACTTTTCTCTTTTGTTTCTCATTTCTTTTCTCCTCATTTGCCTGAATTCCTGCTTCTCCCCTACTCCCAAACCTCTCCTGATTGATGCTTATTCTCCCCGGCCTATTCCAGTTCTCTGCCTCTGAAAGCTTCAAAGAATGACAAATCCAGAAGTTTGAAAAAAATCTCTCGGTAAGAATGAAAACAAGGTGACATACTTCATTGTCTCTACACTTAGCTCATCTCCATTGTAAGCTGCTGTTTCAGCTGTAATCTAGGAATTGGCATACTTTTGATTACTGCTTTTATGCTGTAGGGCACTGGGAAACTGTACATTTTCTATCTAGTGTGTTTAGTTTTATACTGATGAAAAGTAAATATTTTCACTTGTTAAGATTAAGAGTTGGACACAGAATTCTGCCTTTTCTAGGATGCTACTTTGAAATGTCAGAGCCCCACTTTGCTGAAAATGCAAAGGAGTTTAAGCCTCCTGGGGTGAGCTGAGTAAGACAAGCTTAGACTCTTAAAAGGGTGCTCTTTCC